TTTTGAAAAATTGATACAATATATTTCCGTTGATAGTAACACGAAATCCATTACTTCATCAGTATTGATTATTTGATAAAAATCATTTTGCAATTGCGGAATTTCCTCTATACGTAAACGTCGTTTGTCGTTACGCCTTACCTGCTATATAGTTTTCTGAATAACTTGATTACAGTTAGAAATACGGAATTTTACATTATAACAGCGCAATCGATCTTATTGATTCCGTTATAACATTTTTAGATATTTTACTATGAGAAAGAAGCCTTTAAATGGCCAGCTGTGTAGACTTGAACATCCGGAAAATGTGTGGTGAGATAAGATTACAATCTCAAGTTTTAGGTTTAATTAAAAAGCCTAAGCAATATTTTTGTACATTCCGTGTTATGATTTTCATGACAAAAAATAGCCATATTTTGTGAATTATAATTTCAAAGCACTTAGAAATAGGAAATAAAGCGTTAAATATAATGTTACTATTAAACTTCGAACTGCGCTAATCTCGCAACTGACTAGTTAACCATGGGCTAAACACAAAAATAATGTTAATATCGTGAAAAATTCAAATCTATTAACATTATCCGGTTATGTCGAGTTCAGGTAATTCTCCTGTTAGTGCTCTATGAAGTGTTAAAAAGAAGTAACGTAGAAATAGCATGAAAAAATTGCTGTTGCAGTTTGTTGGTCACCTTGACGTTAATTAGTAAAATATCGTTCTTGAAGTGTTTGCTTTAATCAGTCAACAGGTAGCGGCAAAAAATACTATTTTCCTGAGGTTAAAGTTTTCGATATATTTGATCCGTTCTCATAGCCTTAAAAGAAACAGACGTGATTTACTATTAAATATTCTTGTCAGTAATGTAAAAGAATAGAAAGACGGCACAAGAGTAAATTGAACAAAAGTAAAAAAAAGTATCATATTTGCTTTTTTCTTAACTATAACTTGTAAATGTCGCCGTTATCCGTTTATTTAAAATCAACACGATTTCAAAATCTGAATCGGCGTTGAGGCTCTCGTTTTGTTTTGCAGTCAAGTACTTTCATGTAAATGTATAACGTGATTGAGTTATTTTTTCATTGTTAAATAACTTATTTAAAATTACTTTGTTTTTCATCAAATTTTTTGCACTTTCGAGCACTTTGCAGCAAACATGTGAAATCTACGGACATCGGACCAACACTATCGTGTAGAAAATTTCATTACAAAAAAATGTATGAGTACCTATATATTTTTTGATCTAGGGAGCAACATTTTTCAGTGATAATATAGAATCGAGCTGACTGCTCAGGCAGATGCTACATGTATTTTAATTGACTAAGTTTTACTAGAAATGGAATTTTCTGTACACAGAAAACGCGACTCAAAAAATGGTGACCAAATTGATAAAATCCAACAAATTGTCCCTTTCTTTTGAGGAAATTTGTCGCCATTTCGCACACAGACGCTTTTCAATATTGCTCGGAATTTCCGGTCCTGGGTCTACGCTCATTTCGACAATTTATCCCCAATGAGCCCGTAAAATGTGACAATAAAAACACAAAATGTAAATTTACACGATAAAAGCTTTTCAGCAAATCATTTGGTAATGAGGCTTGTTCTGCTAATTAGCGAAATACAGAGGAATCCCACGTCTGACAACTGGTTAACTAATATACCTCTCATGAACCATTTACTTGATGACCGTAAACTGACTGCGGCGGGTACGATTAGAAAGAACAATCCTGAAATTCCACAGAAGTTATTTCGTCTCTAAAACGTGAAGACGAAAGTTCACTCTTGGTATCAACAAATATACATCCGATAACATTTTAAATACAGACAATGAACTTATAAGCACACTTCTTTACATAACATATTTTGTAATTAAATGACATTTCATTGTATGGTCACATCTGGTGAGAAGGAGATTTTTATCGCAGACAGGTAGAAAACAGAAATCTAGGGAGCCCAAACCATTAGAAATTATCAAAAGTGGTGACTAGTGCTAGCAACAACTATGCATAAACTTATATTTAGTTTACAATAGTGGTGGTCGAAAATGAAAAGGCTCAAATGGACTTTTTATTCAAAATGAGTTAAGTAACTAAAGTAAATATAATCACATCTATAATGGCTAATGATATTTGGCGGAAAGAAGACTCAAATGCATTTCACTGCTGAATTGCCGAGTATTGACATACTTTTTATATTTGCTGACCTTTCAAAACATCAATTCGCAACAGTTACAAACGCACTTAAACCGATTACTGCTGCCCTCAACAAATAATAAGAATTAAAAAACAAAACTAAAGAAAATTCATTTTTGTACTATAAATACCGAAGTCAATTTATTAACAAAATTCTCCAAGGTAAGTTAGTATTTCTATCTGAATTCTTCTTCTTCTTCTTGTTCTTTGTGCAGATTTTTTGGCTCGTTTATTTCGTCTGGTAAATGTTGTCGATTTTCCTGGGATAGAGATGTCTAACTATCCTTCTATCTTTCTTGCGGCCTGCCGATCGGTCTTTTACTTGCTGGATTTCCATTTAGCACAATCTTGATTATTATTTCGGAATCCATTCTTTGGAATACTGCGCTTTCGTCCGCATCTGATCCCGTAGTGTCTTTCCCGATATTGACCTTAACGTCTTCATCTCTGCCGTTCTTAGCAAACATTTTGTTTTGTTTGTGTCTGCTCGGGTCTCGATCCCATAGGTGAGTATTGGTCTTACGCATTGTATAATATAGAATCTAACTTTACTGTCGATGCTCATATGTTTGCTGTTCATGCCTGCTATAATATAGGATGGAAATCACGACTATGATGGTTGAAACTGTTCTACCATTTCTTCAAATGTGCTGCAGTGAATTAATATATAATTTATAAAGCTGCATCGACGAAGGCCAACAAAAAACCAAATTCTCATATTGGATTTAGAAGCATATTAGTCAATCGTATAGGAGGTTATTCTAGCTGCAAACATCAGGCTTCATGGATGATCACAGCAAATAACAAGATGAAGAAAACTGATGGACGTGCAATCAGCGTCGCAAACACGGTCCGACTGTCGAATGTAGGAGATCACTTACCTCAGTCAACTACTTCTCGTAGATGCGCTAGGTGCAGCTCCTGAGTGCAAAGTTGTTTGTGCATTCCATGTTTCGCGTCTTTCCATAATAAAAATATTTAATAAAGCTGATGGTCCTAAATGGATACTGGTCTAAAAAGCGACCAGTGAAAATAAGGGGAAAATTCATATTTTTTTGTGAAACTGGCTATGGATACTATTTTGTCTGTAGTATACAGGGTGATTCAAAATTGGCGTCATTCCTCTGGAGGTGTTGTCTGGCGCTGTTATAGGAGTACAAAAAAAATAGTAAAATCAATTAATTGTTATTAAAAACTGAGAAATTTGCAAAAACTATATCAGAAATACGGCAGCAATGTTTTCCAAGGTAATGTGCCTAATTAACATTGCGCAAATACCTGTGGCTTCGTAATTATTTAAAACTCCGGTAACCATGGAATTACACAGACTGACAATAAAATAGACAAGGATAAATGGTAAATTCAACAAGATTTGTTGACGAAATGTCAACCTGTTCTCATAACCTCGAATATGGGTGCTTATAAATAAGCCCTACAACACCAAACATTTGAATGGTTAACTCCAAACAACCTAGTGCCTGTGTAGTCTCCTTATTATCCACTCTTATCAAGCAGCTTCTCGTATTCAGTTAATTAACTCCTGCTCCATTTGTATCTCCTTGTGCTGT